GCAGCTAAATAAAGCTACTTTAGGTAGGTAAATAAAGCTATGTAGGTAGTTCAAGCTACGTAGCTAAATCTAGTGGTTGTACCAGACCTTTTAAAGGAAGTGCGAGATGATACGAAACCTCGCTTGCTCTGAAAGCAAAATGGACGTAAACAACACTGGTGATGCGGTATCTATCGCCTCATTCTGATAAATTAAAAAGGTCCTGTATGACAAAACTCAATGAAATTAAAGGAAAATATAGTCAAAATTATAAATCTGTAATTTTTTTTTAGATGTTTCAGTGAGGGATTTTTTTTATATCCACAAAACCGATAAACTCTGTGTAAGGCACGCGAAAAACTTACATGGAAGTCGGGGCCTTCGTCTCGCCGTAACTTAATAATCCACTCTTTCCGTAGAGATGGATCCTTTAGAAAAGAGTGGAAGGATGTTGCTGTACCCCGACGACTATCCTCGTTACAAAGCGGTACACAGCCGCGGAGCTCGATTTCGCAGGACCGTCCATGTTCAGCGTCTGCTCGCACATGTGCTTTTTGTCAGGTCAGCCTCGTTGTCGAAATGAACTTCAGCGCGTGCGTGAATAGAGTCTATTGAGAGTCAATCAGCTGATGGGCAATATGAGAAGCTAGTCAGATATCTTCAAACTGGAGTAATTTTTTCTGTATATATATTACATTTAATTTTTTTTTGTTTTTGGAAACGTGTTTGCTATGGATAAAAAATTTAAAAGATTTAAAAAAAAAAAAAAAGATTCAGCGCGTAAACGATGTCGAGAAGCATCCGAACCAAGTGTCTGTGGCCACAGAAAATAACATTTCAAAAATGCTTTGTCTCCTTTTTAAATCTACCCATTTTTGCGTTTTGTTTTTTTTTTTACGTCTTTCTAATCGGGAACCTTAGTATATAGGTCTCTGTTCTAATTAAGTGTCGTTTACTATGTTAAAGTTTCAGAGTTATACCTCTTGTTTGTATGAAAAGTCGCGTGGTGCTATTTTAAGCACAGTCCATAAAAAAGATCGTACATACAGCAGAGTTATGCCAGATATATGTCCTTGCTTATATATAGTTTTGATTCGTATACTATCAGTAAGTTTTCAAAGACCATGCACTGAAAACTTTAGACAAAGTTAAAATGTCGACATTCCTCCATTTGTGTGTCTGAATTTTTTTTTCAGAAGTGCTACTCCTTCATCAGTTTTGGTCCAATCTCGATAACACTTGTCACACAAAAAGCAACAATAACTTAATGTATTACTGATTTAAAAAAAATAATAAATTCGACGAACAATGTTGCCATGGTTAATAAAAAAGATTCCGCAATATTCTTTCAAAACGCCAATCTTCGTAATCTTCGGTAAGTTTTTAATAAAACTTTGTATATTTGTAAACTACACTAAGCTATAATATTCTAAATAATGATTTTTTTTATTTCAACTCTTGGTGTTGCCATGGTAAATAAAACAATATTTGTAAAATCAATCGTTGATAAATCGAGGCTTATAGGCTTAAACACGGATTTATGCTTTCGATCGCATTTCGCTTTTGTGCAGTTTCCTCTACAGTTAAATTTTCAGACGTGGAGATTCCTGGAATATTTTAATTTCTTTCAAAATGCTGTTCTTTCCTCCCACCGTTTTTGTCTGATTTTAATAAGACTGGTACATCATACTTATCTGTGCGATAAACATTGTATAATCATGGATACTAAAAACTGAATTTTCTTTTAATCCCGTTAAATTGCTTCTACTCCTACCTCTTGATCTGATTTTAATTAAACATGGCATGCAACTAGACATCATCAGACAAATTATGTGCATCAAATGAAATTCGTGAGAATTGACATGTTCTTCGAAAATATAATTTGTTTCGTTTTTTTAGAATGTTTCTTCAACATTATTTTGACTGATTTTAATAAAACCTAAAATAAGGGAAGGAATAATCAAGGTAATTTTGATGGTGTGCTCACACATATAACAAGTGCACCGGGGCATCCCTTCGCAAAAGAAGACATTGATAATGATATCGATGTAAGTAATTGCTTCCGTTACGATTGCACTCACTCACTCACAAGAGTGTTACTACATGTAAATCCCCTTCAAATTCGTTGCGAGGGAATAATGACTGAAATAAGAAAAGACATAATCTTAAAAACTCTTTCAGAATACTATTCCGACGGGCTTTTTTTTGTGTATGTCTAACACAAAACGAAAAAAACAAAACAAAACAAAACAGTATACCGAGATTTTATGAACTGTGCGGGTACGGCTTACTAATCTGTTGGAATATTTTATAATGCTTATCTTTCATTTTTCATTTCTTTCCTATTTCTTCATGTATGCTGACCTTTAAAGTTGTACCTGTTTGAATACATATATAGGATTATTTCTTTTCACTGATAAATACACGACTATTTACAAACAATGTTTGAGAATGAAAACGTACTTGTAAATAACACAATGTCTAAATCAGGCCATTTTTCTGAGAAAAAGGCTTTGAATATAGATTGCAGTGTATGAAAAATAGATAAGGTACAATAACTGTTAGTTTTTGATCTTGTCATTTGATCGAGTGACTCGAAATGTGTTGGTATATTTCTTTAACAAATTTATATATCTGTATAATTATTGTAAAATGTTGTTCGTTCGTAAAAGTTAGTTCCATTAAACTCTTAACTATTCATTTTACAACGCAACAACACGGATGACGACGTACATTTTAAAACTATAACTTCTTCAGATTCGGGTATTTTGACAATGCCATTAATCGAGAACACCAAAATGCGAACTTCAGCTTAGTTTTCTAGTGTAAAATCCGGATATATTCTTGAGTTTGCAAGAAACAGTTTCTCGATTGTGTAAAACAACAGGATTTGGTGGATTTTTCTCCAACCATTCTTTATGCTTGATATTTGCTTTCCTATGGTGGAATTGGAAGATTATTTCAGATACATTTTTTTTTAAATTTTCAACAAACTGTTTCTCCATTTTGCGCAGGTTTTGAAAGATTTTACTCAAGCTACTCTTTAATTATAAAGCAACGGAATCAGTTGAAATTTGGTGAGCGGAATAGTTAAAGGCGGGAAAATGGATGTTCAACAATATAGTAAAATTCCCCTTCCTCAGCTTTTTACCTAAAACGGTGACTGCAGATTGTAATTACATTCATCTTAGTTCGATTCATTCGATGTATATGATTTCAACTGTTACAGGATCTCTGTCAGTCCTGGAAGCTGATACAGCTATTGTGACGTCAGGTATACATGTATCATATATGCAAAAACCTTTATTTATTACGAAGTATGTTACGTGTTTTGTGTATGACTTTTGACTTGTATGTGTGCTGTTTGTTTTTTTTATTTCTAAGATTTTTTTCTTAATCCATATGATTAAATATAAAATTGAGACCGGATCATGTTTGTTTTCTTTGAACAAAAAAGACCATGACCCTGCGACATTTGGAACATTAGAAGCTTCTTTTTAACTACTAATTTCATCCAACCAACTTTGGTGCAGCATCTATGGGCCAAGGGGAACAAAAAAATTTACTTCATGGTGTCAACCCTCTGGGGTCTGATGAGGTGTAGGGCCAAAACCATCAACATTCCTTCTAAACTTTTGGACATAGCAAATCGTCTTCAGGAGTAGAAGGAGGAGGTCGTTATCTTAAAAAAATGTTATATTCCAAAAGAATGACCTCTAGAACCAAGAATTAGGGCTTACCGTGAGACCAGACTGTTAATGTATTGAAAATATAATAAACCTTTTGAAATTTTTTTTTGTCTTTTTTATTGTTTAACGTCCCTCTCGAGAATTTTTCACTCACAAGTGACGCAACCACTTGCCAGTGGAGGGCTACAAATTTTGACCTATACTCGGCACTCAGGGCCATTGAGCAGTGAGGGATTTTTGTCGTGCAAGCACCTACTAGGAGCTCATGGGACCTCAGTTTTATACGGTTTCATCTGAAGGACCGGTCTCTACGTCTCGCAGTGGGATTCAAACCCGCGACGTAAGGATAAACTCCTTACTCCGCGACTCTAGAGCAGACGGTCTAACCACTGCGCCATGCGGGCGTCTTTTTTGGTCTATCAATAGGTCAATCATATATAATAAATACATTGTACCTATGAGAATCTTCATTGTGATAGTGAGAAGCTAGACCTCTACAAAATTTGAAATTCATGCTAGGCTCAGGCCCCAGGGAGGGAATTGGTTAGCTATATAGTAAAAATAAATAATACAGTGTACCTGTGAAAATCTTGTTTATTCCAGACATTTGGCAAACGAAGTAATGCATGATGGCAGTAAGCTATGGGTCCTTTACCAAACTGTGAATATGTGACCCCAGGACCAGGCCTGTAGACGGGGCTAAGTTGTTCTTATATTCAAAATACATTTTTGTCTTTTTAAAACATCTTACTCCTGAGCATTTCAAGTCTCAATCATTGTGATAATTAGCATATTCCGACCAAAATTATTAAATTTTTCATATAAGTAGAGTTTACCAATCAGTTTAATACGTCAAAACTCTTTCGATACCACACATAACAGTGCTAATTTGAGTAGAAAATTTAAGACTTGTTAATTATTTTGTTAACTGAAATATAAAAAACTCAGCCTTCATCTTCCAAGTTTATGAATATTCATGATATGAACTAGTGCTAACCGACAATTTAATAAAAAAAAATTTCAAATTATGTGTGTCATCATATCACAATTTTGTTGGAATATCTTAGATTTGAAACATTTGCAAAAATCTATGAAAATCGTACGTCAAAAAAAAGCTGAAATTTATTTCTAACGATTTTATATCAGTGTATAATGCAGTTTCAGATTACTGGTTACTGCGTGGCAGAAGTTAGAATTATCGTACATTAAGTGTCTGTGTGACAGAACTAACAGACAGGAATACCTAGTAGATTGTTCTTCTATAAAGCCAACCACTTTTCTGTCTGGATTGTGCTGTTGCTTTGATAAGATTAAGCAGTAAAACCGTGGAATCAGTCTGAATGCATTTGTTTTAATGGAACAATTAAAAACATTCTTAAAACTTTAAGATGGCATTGTCTTCATTCAAGTGGCCTCTTAATGAGAAAGGAAATTGATAACTTTTACTTTCTCGTGTTTAATTTTAAGAGACCTGGATGAAAATTGCAACAATGAGACATTAATTGGATGTGGAAAATGAAGTACCAGGGATTAATTAAAATTTTTGATTTGCTTCATGACAGCTAGAAATATGATAGCACCACCATCAGGGACACTAGTAGAAGGGAATGACTGGCATACATAACGATGGACGAAAGATACAAATTCAAAATTTTTGGAATACATGATGGGCGGTTTCTTGTGCTTCATTCTACAGCCTTAGTTTTCATAGGACTTAGTGTCCTCTGCGCGGGATTAGTAATAGCCACCTCTATAAGAAATAAAAGGAATGTGAACTTCTTCTTTGGATGGAGCAAGTGTGAGCGTTTCGCCATTTACATGGCTGTATGTGATATTATGCTTCACTTGGTCCATTGCACGGACCATATCCATATGTTAATAGTTCACGGGCATGTCCATCCTATAAACCTATGCGAATTTTACGGTTTCGTACTCTACGAGTTCACAATTGCCCAAACTTCATTGGTTTTCATCATCGCAACGAATGCCTTTCTGTTGATAAAGTTTAAGTGTAATTTGAATTATGGAGCCAGAGACTGGAGAATAATCTCCGTTGCTTTAGGTGTACCATTTATTATTTGCGTATTCTTGGCTTCCTACAAGCAGCTCGGACCAACCGGGACATAGTAAGATAGATAAGTATTTCATGCAAAGAGATTTCAATTTTACTCTTTCTGTTTGGTTTTGCTTCATCACTTTCTAGCATTAAAAACCACCTGTTCTCTTAAAATACAAGATCTACTGATTTCCTTTGGCCAATGCTGCAACGTAGATGTTTCAATTATTGGAAACAGTCAATGGCAAAAAAATTCTGCCCATTGAATTGATTTAATAATTCTTAAATTAATTCTTACCTTAGGCTCTAAAGATTATATACTGCATCAAACACAAATGACAACTCAAATCAATATTCTTTACTGTGAACAAAAGTTATTCGACGTTAAGAAAAATGAGGTTTGGATTGAAATATTGATTTTAAAAACGGTAAAAGGTCCCACGAAATGGTCTTATGATAAAAAATCAACTAAAAAAGTTTCTGGTTTGTCTTGAGATGAGTATTACTTCTGCCAACGAAGGTGGAAGGGTGTTATGTTCTCATCCATATTTGTCTGTCTGTGCTTCAGTGCACAATTTGTATAGAAAAATTTCATAAAACTGGTGTACAAGAAATTTTCGAAAATGTTTGTTTGGTCGGTGCAAGGAAGAAACAATAAAAAATTTTAAAATGGACCCATGAAAATAAGTTTAGTCCACAGAATAAGCTTAAAGAGAGTTAAGACTTTATACTCGTACACGAGTTTTGTTTGAATCGACATTTCATAGATGAAGTACGGTAAACTCTAGAATATTTAATTATACTTACCACATAATTGTAAATGCACATGCATATCTACTTATTTGAAGAGCAAATACAAAGTATCAAAAATCTGTAAAACTCCAAACCCAAAGTTTTAAGTTACTTTTCATTCTCAATTTTTATAATTTTTTAATCTATTTAAATTAATTTCGATTATTATCTATTTATTTGTTTTAGCTGTGGAATCGTGGGCGAGAAAGTAGTGACATTTATTTCTACACTTCCGGTTCTACTTGTGCTCATTTTCAGCACAATGCTGTACATTCTGACGTGGAAGCATATTAAAATTGAAGGAAAGAAGGTGACAGGTATAAAATTAAACAAATACCAGTATTAGAATAAAATCTGGATTTTCTCTCAAGATCAGTGTATTTTTTCAGCACAGTCAAGCCATATAAGTATTTTTCCAATAGAAAAAAAGCTTAAGGGGAAGAAGGACGTTGAGCTGAAATTTTTTTTTCATATTTTGTATATTTCCAATTAAGTATGTCCCACATATCTTAAAGCAGTTTTATCATTAGGTTTCTTACCTTATTTTAGAGATATTGATTGACAAATACTATGCCCTACAGTATCTAAGTGGAGTTTTAATTCTCCATGTTTCCGGGCTCATTACTCCGTCCATAAAGGGATTTTTTAAGCATATATATAAATTATGTAAGTGGACATGTTTCTTTTAAAATATATCAGAATTGAATAGGGTTTAAAATTCGAAAAAGCAAGTTCCTTCTATCACACTGCATCTGGATGGGGAAAAATACGTATTTTTTAAGACAACTTAAACAACAAAAAGCGTAATTTACAAAAAATTCTATCATTCAATATTTTAAAATTTACGTTGAAATGCAAGTTCTTCAAAATATTGATTAACTAAAAATTTCAAATGGTGAAGCTGACTTCAATATTGCACAGGACATCGTTAAAGAGGACATAAGCATGACAAAAACGTGTCATGTTTTAAATTACATTTCTCGAGTACGGGAAAACCCAACTCTGACGTCACACGTAAGCTTACAAAGCGAAATAAGATATACCTACATAAGATTTCCGTCATCAGCCATGCAAAAATAATTTTTGTGTTCCCCGTTTCTCAAAATATTTCATCATATACTGATTATGACCTGTTTTTACAAAATAATACCACCACTGTATTCACCGAGTATGATCTTGCTGTACTAACAGATCGTGTATGACGTCACCGACTTGTTGGACGCGCAGTTTAGAGAAACAGAGGAGTGGATCAATCTTTTTCATAATTTGTTATTGTTTACAAGAATGTTAAAACTTTTTATTTTTTTTAATACAAGATGGTAATTAAAGATAAAAAATTGTCAAAAATTTATACAAGAACTGATGCTTTACACATTTTGCACTTATATAAAAGGAGACTATGACGTAGTTAAACAGAGTCATGTGACCATGTGTCCTTCATCCCCTTAAACTTCGATTATGTAGAAAATTGTCCGTACCGGTATAGTAACATGAAATTAAAATGGAAATGCTTTTAGTGGGCAAGTTGTATAAAATACTCCGTACAGCAGAGCATACGTGTAGCACTTACTAAGTTACTGATCATGACAAAGAGCACACGGCGGGTGTGACCGGTCGGGATGCTCACTCCTCCATGCACCTGATCCCACCTCTGATGTTTTAGAGGTTCTTGTTTGCTCTGCTTCTGATTTGTATTGTTTGAATGGACTTTTGAGCTTGAATACTGTTTGTTATCTCCATATATTTCATTTAAATATAATTTAGGATTTTTTTCCCTAGTTTTATGAGTGTTATATCGGTGTGTAAATCACATGGACTTGTCACGTAGGCATATCTTATGAAGCGCGCTAGTGACGGTAGATTTTTTTAATGAAATGCTTTGAAAATAAAAACAAATACATGTATTAGTAGTCAAGACAAGATGATAATTATGGTTGAATTAGCATGAATCACGGGTGTGCATGCATGTGTGCTTTGATCTGATTGACTGGGGCTAAAATCTCAATTACATGTACTTCTTGTTTTTTGATAAAATATTATGAAATTTGAAAAACAGGCACATATTATAAAAATCTACAATATGACACGAAGTTTCTTGAAAGTAAACGCATGCAAGTGTGGTGCATATTTTATTGGCTGAAACTATATATGACCATAACTTTCACAGTGTTCAACAAAACAGGACGAAATTTAGAATGAAGAATAATAGGTTCCTGGTAGGTTGAATGATACTAGTCAATGCAAGGGCATGCATACACATGTGCTGAGATCTGATTGGCTAATTCTTTAATGACCGTAATCTGACTGTTATCAATAAACAGAGGTATGTATTGAGACCCTGTAAGAAGGTATTTGTGAGATATCTAAAATAAGAGGTCCATGGGCCAAATCGCTCACCTGAGCACATTGGCTAGGAAAAAGCAGAAATCAGTTCAGTATTGAAAAGTTTACGAAGGGGACAAACTTAAATTTACACTACCTCAGGATGCTTCCATATCAATATTACTAATCATGGCTTTGCCGTTGTTGAGCAGAAGAATTTTAAAGATTTATTTTCCCTATGTACTCCTATGTAAAACTCTGATTGTGGCCCAACCCTAAATTTGAACAAATTTGAATCTACACTACCTGAGGATGCATCTATTTTTCAAGATGATTCCTATATATTCTTATGTAAAACTTTTACCTCTGTTGTGGTCCAACCCTTGGAGGTCATAATGTGAACAAACTTGATTCAACACTACCTGAGGATACGTATGTATTAAAGTTACATAGTGAGTCATTATCATGTGTTTCTTTTAAGATAATTGTATCATAAAGCTACAGATTTATGAGAAATATGAATAAGGTTTGAGATCTCAACTGCACGATAAAAGCAAGATAAGACTGCAAAATGTAAAAAAAGAAAGTTGTATCTATGGCGTGATTGTTATCGTCGATGTCAACAATGTCAAGGTCATGCGTCTTATATTTAGCTTGAAACTTGTAAACAATATTGAATTGGAGCAATCAAAAGTGCGGAATAAGTTCTGTTAATCTTTTTTGAAGATTATATCAAAATCCTCGATCATCCGACATTTATATCTATGGAATTGACACCATGGTAACTTCTTCAACTTTTCTGCGCATGCGTACCTTAAAGAGGAAGAAATGAATCAAAATTTTCGTGTTGGGGCAAACTAAAATTATTTTTTCATATATTTTTCTCCATAAAAGTAGATTTTTCAGGTTCTGAAACCTGTAATTTTCTGAAACCTAATACTTTCAAGAATAAATAAAATTTGCATGTGTCTTGCAAAAATACTTCTTTTGTCAATTTTCCCGTTTTTCCGTCACAGTGTCTCTTTAATATGACTAATAATGGCTTAGCTGTTCCTGAGAAGAAAATTTTAAAGATATTTCCTATATATTCCCTTTTAAAACTTTGGCCCCTTGTTGTGTCTGCGCCCAACCCCCCCAGGGGTCATGATTTGAACAAACTTGAATCTACACTACCTGAAGATTTTTTTATATTAATACGACTATTAATGGCTAAGCTGTTCTTGAGAAGAATTTTTTTATTAAAGATATTTCCTATATATTCCTATGGTTAACTTTGACCCTCTGTTGTGGCCCTGCCCTACCACCAGTTATGACTGAAACAAACTTGAGTCTACACTACCTGAGGATACTTCCATAATAATATGACTAGTCATGACTTTGCTGTCCTCGAGAAGATTTTTGAGACATTTCCTATAAACATGTATTCCTGTGTAAAACTTCGACTCCCTCTTGTGGCCTCGCCCTACTCCCGGGGGTTATGATATGAACAAACTTGAACTTACAGTATGTAATGAAGTTTTCAAATAAGTTTCATCTTTTCTTGTCCAGCGGTTCTTAAGAAGAATATTTTTAAACCAAATTTTCACGAATTCTTAATTATCTCCCCTTGAAAGAGGGCGTGGCACTTCTTGTGAACAAACTTAAATCCCCTACACCCAAGGATGCTTTGTGGCAAGTTTGGTTGAAATTGGCCCAGTGGTTCTCGGGAAGAAATTGAAAATGTGAAAAATTTACAGACAGACGGACGCCGGACACTCTTTGATCAGAAAAGCTCACTCTCACTTGAGCCATCAGCTCAGGTGAGCTAAAAACGCGTGCATGGCTAAATTGGCTAAAGCTGTAAATGACCATCACTTTTGTTTTCAACGAAACAAGACAAAATTCAAAATTGGGGCAAAGTATATGCGACACTGCATTATGGTATCAGAAATAAACACATGCAAGCATACGTGCTGAATTCTGATTGGAAATTCCTTGAATTTAAAAAAAAAAAGTCTGCTCCACATTATTAGATACTACTTTTAAATGATTTATATTTATGGCATCTTTTGAAAACATGTGCGCTCATTCAAGTGAACAGAAATATAACTGGCTAATACTCATATGACTATATCTGTGTTATGATCCGAAAATGCACTTTGATAAATATATGTGTAGTTTTATCATACGAAATCATCGCCTAATCCATTGAAGATTGTAGGGAACGCGACTTTACAAGGTAAAAGAGGAGCCGTTTGGGGAACATCTGTAACCGTTTCCGTTATAATTATAACTAGTTTATAGTTGGTTTAATAAAAAAAAAAAACAGCAATTTCAAAAATATTATATAATTAAAAAATCGCACCACATTTAAAGAATACTGCGATTTTCTTACAGCATCACTGAGGAATCACAAATCTTCGAGCCAAAGATCAGCTAGGGCAGCCAAGAACATGTCCTTGTTTGTTGCCGCCTATTTCATTCAGTGGTGGGCCTTGCCGCTTCATGGTGTCTGGCAATTGGTGGACAATACTCCGTTTGAAGTCCTTGAGCTCCTGGCAATATTTACTAACATGGGAGGTATACTAAATGGTGGGGTGTACTTGATTATTAAAAAGTCACGTATTGCTAAAGTGAAGTGTATTTCTCATGAAAAAGATGGATCTGTTAATAATACAAGTCCGACATCCAACCAAACACAATGCAGTTAGCATTGATCCTAGTTCTGAGTAGTATCTCATTATAGAATAATTGTTAATTTTTCTTTAATCGTATAATGTATACAAATAAAACAAGACTGAGACTTGTACAGTTTTTACAAACACGTGCTAAGTTGCCCGCATGCCGCAGTGGTTAGAGTGTTTGCTTTAGAGTCGCGGAGTAAGGAATTGATACCGCACTTCTAAAAGGCCGCAAGTGCCGAGTACAGGTCTAAATTTGCAGCCCTTTAAGGGCAAGTGTTGGCTTATCAATATGAGAAAAATTCTTGAAGGGAGGTTTAGCAAACAAACAAATGTTCGTTGGAGAAGATTGTGATTTGGTTTTTGAGTTGTATAAAATTCTTAAAATTAAAAAAATTATATATTTTAAATAAAGGTTCATAAAGTATGTATATTCAATGCAAATAAAAAGCTAATATGATGTAGTAGTCAAGCTTTTATATGTTCACAGAGCAGTGGTACATTTTACATGTACATATCAAGCTTAAGACAAAACATGTCTAACGAATTTAAAAACGCATTTCTTACTTTTAAAACCATATGAAACTGAGATTTCTTTTATCAGTTATTCTCAGATGTTCTGTTTTTATGATATGGTTGTGATTTCTTTTTTGATATGCACCAAAAATTGTAAAATCTTAAATATTTTCAGACACATGATATACAGAAACAGATGTCCCGTAATTGTCACACTCCTCCCCCCTTTTGAAAAAGGGGGCATACTGGTTTGCATCTGTCAGTCGGTCGCTAGACCAAGAGTTTTCCGCAAAATAACTTAGAATTCTTTGCTTTATTGAAAACATTTTTACCCCATAATTAGAAGTAGACGACCCCTATTGATTTTGAGATCACAAGATCAAAGTTTAGGGGTCAAAATACTCTGGACATAGAAGGATGGTGTCCTCTCAATATATTAACCCTTTGTTTAAGAAAATGTAACCTTGTACCCCTGTAGTAGATGACCCTATTTATTTTGAGGTCACAAGACCGAAGGATAGGGTCAAACTACCCTAGACATAGGAAGATGTCCGCTCAATATCTTGAGAACCTTCTGCTTGACAGACATTAGCTTGGTACACTTGTTTTGTTTAAGGAGTAGATAATCTCTTTTTGTTTTGAGGTAAAAAAAAAAATTCATGGGTTAGCGCCACAGTAAATATATTCTTTGTTTTGCGTCCGGGTGGTTAGGTTTTTCTTAAAAAATCCTGTCTCAAAAAATAAACACAAAATTGTCAAGTTTTAACGATTTGTTTTACGTATTTTCCAGAAGTTTAGACAATCGTATTTATTGGTCATATTTAAGCTGATTGAACCTCGCATCATTATATTAGACTTTGTGAGTTGTTTGAAATGTGTGTTTAATTTCTGAAATTAAAGAATATCAACACATAACAACTTCCTTTCTCAATACATTAATTAGTAAATGATTTGCTTATTATTGAATGTGTTTTTAGAAATATGTTTGTTTTTCAGTCGAACTGGAGGGTGCCTTTTACCAAAAAATTCAGGGATGAAAAACAGATATTATTTACCAAAGCCTAAGGGTCAAAATAATATGGGCATGAGAAGATAGATATTGTCCGATCAATATATCTTCAGAACTCTTTGCCGGACAGATATCATCAAACTGGGAACAATCGTACCCCTAGAGAGTAAATGTTCCTATTGCTTTAAAGGTCAAAGGTCATACTACTATGTACAGAGAAAGATATTGTTCGCTGCAGTTCGCTTGATTTCTTGAGAACCTTTAGCTTGACAGGCATAAAACTTTACTGGTATACCGTACACTCTAAGGAGAAGATGATCCTTACAGATTTTAAAGTCACAAGGACAAGGGTCAAAGTACTCTGAATCAAGCATTCCAGTTACTCTCTTCATGGCGTTTTATGCAGGTTACTGTACTTCTTTCATTGATTGAAAAAAATCTTACAACAATATTGTCGAAAATCAATTCAGATTTTAAGCTGCATACAACAAATTAAATCCCGTAGTTTGTTTGCTTCAAGTGCTTCTATACCTCTCTGGCGAGGATAATGAAGTATATAAATTGCATCGTAAGTGTGACAGAAATAGATACCTTATCTCGCATCGCTATATGCTGGACGTTTATAAAGATCAAAAGCCCACCTATTGATTCTGTAAGCCCAAACATTTATGAGAATAAACAGCTATTTCAGAAAATTAGAAAACAATGTCCTAAAAACTGCTGGCTTAATGATGACACACGATACCTAATCGAGTAAAATAATCTTGTTCTCCCACCCAGAGGGAATATAAGCAGATAGATTGAAAGATGAAACAGTGAAACATGACTTGTTAGTAGTCGCGGAGTCCAAATACTTTTATTGCACAACGATTAAGAGTAAATGAAGGTTTGATGAGGCTGGAACTATAACCCACAGAATGGAATTCAAACGATACCATTTACTACGAATGACAATCGATTTGAGCTCTAATGATCATGTAGTGAAAATGCATAAATTCTTTAAATGAAATATGGAGATAAAGAACAGTATTCAAGCTCAAAGTCCATTAAAACAATACAAATTGGGAGCAGAGCAAACACGGACCTCCAAAAAGGATCAGGTGCCATGGAGGAGTGATCATCCCCTGCCGACCGGTCACACCCGCCTTGTGCTCCTCATGATCGGTAATTAATGGAAAAATCCGTCGACAATTCAATGTGTAAATAATGGCATATTAATTAGTATGAAAAACGTCAGTCAACATATGATTTAATGATAGATTGTATTTGCTGACAAGGTCATTGTATCGACCATAGAACTTTCAAAATGATGACTTTGAACGAGACTGTAGATATTCCTCTTTCGTCAACGTGTTCGTCAATAACTTAACTCGTTTTAGAAATTGTTTATACGTAGAGCATGCTCTAGCGTATCGAATCAACTGAGAGATATACACCCCATATGCAGGTGATAAGGGTATATTGCTGCATAAGTAAGGGAAGATGACGATTGAAAAGTTAAGGTCATCACGTTTATCATAAAGCTTGTTTGTTAGATTACCATTAACGTCTTTTTCTAGTAGTAACTTATCCAAATATGAAACAGATGTGTCAGACTCTGTGGTATCTATTATTTCAAGCTCTCTAGGATATATCGTGTAGACATATAAATGGAAATAACTATTGTTAATTGATAATACATCGTCGATATATTTATATGTCGAGTTGAAGGCCACAGCAAGAGATTTTTTTCTCACATATAAGATTTTGAATAAATTCTGCTTCATATGAATACAAAAATAGGTCTGCTAACAACGGGCCGCAATTGGTACCAGGGTTGGGGTCAATTACTTTGAATTGTAATTAATTACATTCAAATGCATTGATAATTTTGTCAATTACTTACAATTACAATTACATTGATTTTTTTCAAATGTAATTAATTACTCTCAATTACTTTGACAAATTTAAATGTAATTAAATACATTTCAATTACTTAAGTTTTATTTTTAAAAAATCTTGAGATTACATATATAAACGGCATTGGGATACACAAAGTATTATGTACTGAAATGTATTTACTGTTTGAGTTCATTTTAATCATCATCAGATTTTCAAACACAGCATCACTCAAACGACGTCTTTCTGGTCTGAACAGTTTTCCAGCCACGCTGAAAAGTCTTTCAACGGGTACTGAAGTCGCTGGTACAGCTAAATACCTTTGGGCTAACCGAGAAAGACAAGGAAACGTGGAATGATTTTGACTTTAAAATTTTCAGAAACATTTTCTGGGACATTAAATACTATTGAATTCATGATTGGTTCTGAATAAGTTTTTACTATAGTGAACTTTTATTCAGTGTTTTTGTTCTTGAGTATTAGAGGGGTTCACACCTGGACAAAAGTAGACCTCTACCTATTGCCCTGGGCAGTGTGACATGCTGTGTAAACAAATTAAACATTCTGAGACATTTAATTGTTACACAAACACAAGCCCATGCCACACATGTATACTGAACTGTGTATCTTGAAAAGACACCTTTTTAAACTAATAACTTAAAAAATAGCAATTGAAATGTAATTGAAAAGTAATTGAAAATACATGACATTTTTGGAAATGTATTTAAATACATTCAATTACTTGTAATTGAAGACTGGCTCAAATACAACTTACTTCCAATTACTTTAAAAAATGTAATTAATTACGCTCAATTACAAATACTAATTACAATTACCCCATCCCTGATTGGTATCCATGGGAATTCCAACAGATTGTTGGAAGACCTGGTCTCCAAAAATCACATAGATATTGTCAATCAAAAACTCACGCATCTTTTGAATGTCAACTTCAGAGTACTTTTATATACAATCAGAATGTTTTTTAACAAAATTTTGCAAATGACCAATGACAAGGTTAGTAAGTTTACGAGTTCCATTTTTATTGAAAAAGAAAAACCAGCTCTCAATGATGTCAAAAAGCCTGGAATTTAATTTATCGGGGGGAATGGTTGTATACAGAGTTGAAAAGTCGTAAGTTTTTAAGTTATTGATTTTGGTAAATTTTGTGACTTCAAATTTTCCAAACATTCCGTGGAATTTTTAAGTATCCACATCTGGTTTACACCACTTCTAGAATATACTGTTGCACAGTACTCCTTAAGTTTCTCCTTCACTGTTGTTAATATTTTAGTGAGGAGTAAATTAAAGAAAGAGGCTTGATAGAACATTTACTGGAACCCGTTATGTATCTTTGTAAGGATTTTTATGAAATCTCGGAATCCAACATAAATATGGTAATTCAAATTCATTTTGGTTGTTAGGAATATTAAGATTGGTTTAAGAGAAAAAAAAAATTAACAATAAATAACTGCATTCCAGGAGGCAGTTTTATGTTTTGTGCTTTATTACTTATTAATAGGAGGAAACTTATAAGATCCGCTCCAAATTATTCAATGGCTGTCCCAAAGAAATTTATCAAGGTCAGTAAGCATGGCGGACAAATATACATACGCGAAGTGATAGATGGATAATTCATTTTATTTTTGATCAATTCCTCTCTTGCATAATAACAATTTGTTTTATTTCTGTAAAATATTTGAATCAAAAACAAAGCAAAGTGAAACACACCTAAACCTGCACCATTACAGAGATCGTTATCCCTAAACAAGAGGCTCGAGGGCCTTCACGGTCACCTGAGTACAATACAACAATTTAGAGGATCCATAAACTGATAAATGAAGCTTTGTTGCCCAAAAGCAAGAAAAATAGAATGATAAGCATCAACAAAATAATTGGTATAGAATCTATCTGTCCCCCATTTATCACTATTACTATGCAGACTATTAACAAAATGTCTA